GCGCTCTGATGGCTTTTTAGCGAAAGGATTTTCATCAAAAACATAATTAAAGTACAAAAATTAGGCATAGTTGTATCAACTATACATGTAAACAGAGTTGTATGGGGCCCCCAGAAACTATGGGCCCTAGGCTACTGCCTAGTATTGCCTTATGGTAAATCCATCCCCAATCGAGACAGTTTATAATCAGTCATTTCTATCAGTCAGTTTCGAACATGACAACAGAGGCCTGCTTATCAGATGCTTATTTTCTTTTATTGTAATTACTTTAATAAAATAATATATCATAAATACTAAATATCTTATTGTATAAGCTGATATTGAAATATCCTTTCCGAGAGTGTCCCCTGTAATACATAGGAAACAACTTTCAAACAACTAAAAATGTTAAAAGAGACTTAATTATTGAATATAAATTGTTTGAAAACATCTATAAATAATCAGGCTTTGTTTATAGATGTTGGAGATCTGCCTGTTTTCCAGTGTAGTCCTGTTTCTCTGACTGTGACTAACTGCATGTGCTCTCTTCATCCTCTGACATGGGAGCTGGCTCGGAGCTCGTCTGCCTTGCTGTGTGTTTCCTGGACGGGGCCGCCTTTTACAGTGTCCTTTTGTGTCTCTGCTTCTGTCTCCTTGAACCCCAGTCAGCCTTGGCAGATGGCCGCTCACACTGAGCCTGGTTCTGCTGGAGGTTTCTTCCTGTTAAAGGGGAGTTTTTCCTCTCCACTGTCGCTACAAGCATGCTTAGTGTGAGGGATTGTATTTGAGTCAATTAGTTAATGCAATCAACTGATTTTCCTTAGATAGAAAACTTTGAATCAGTTTGACTGTATGATCTGGTGAACTGTAAAGTGCCTTGAGATGACTTGTTTGAATTGGCGCCATATAAATAAACTGAACTGAATTTAAATAGACACTTCCTGTTGCCTGTTGTCATGGTGACCCGTCAAATCGATGCTCCACTGATAAGGGCTTTTCATACTTGTTGTGCATGCTCTTAAATCTGATTGGAACTATTTAAAATTGATTGGCACTATAGAAATAAACTGAATTGAATTGCTATATAAAATGCCCAAATCAAGCAAAAACATTTACAAGCAGTGGAAACCATGTTTAAGTCATCCAACATTGAATGTTGCTCTTGTTTTATTTTTATTTTTTTCCCTCCTGGATCAAATTGTTTTATTTCTAAAACTCCAGGAAGGTTTTAAACTGTTTCATATTTTCACCATTATTCTCTGAAGTCCCAAATTCTGAGAAATACATTTTTAACCCTTTGCAATCAGGGAATCATGTGTTGTTGTTTTTTTATCTTTTAGATTGCATTTGTGTGATTATTTTATCCTACAGTTTTTAAGTTCTAAGAGGAAATAGTAAAATTCACCATTTTAATCTATCTTCACTTTGGGTCAGCTTAGATAGAAGTGTTTCCTTAATAAATAACATTATCATTAGAAAATATGTGTCATGTTAATATGTTTTCCACAGCAGAAATAAATGTGGATACACAAATGGGTTTTTTGTTCAACTTGCACAGGCTTTTTAAGAGCAAGTGGTTCTTAAGTAGCAGTCTGGGGATAATAGTGAAGATTAAGACTGGAGGGGGAGGGGAGAGAAGAAGCTGGACTTGGACGCAACCTTTTCCAAACAGTCAGTGTTCCTGGATTTGTGGTGAAATCGTTTGCTAAGGAAGGATAAAGAAAAATAAAATAGAAAAACAAGATAAAGACTGAGGCTATATCAGGTGAGTTATGATGGTTTATGTTTTTTGAAGATTCATTCTAGCTGACAACATCAAGACATCCCTTTACCTTTTCATTTACAATTAAAGATTTTATGGATTTATTTTCTGAATATTAACATTTCAGTAAGAAAGTTTATTTTCTGCAACAGGCTTTGAAATATTTATTTGATTTATATTAAATCTGCCAGAAAGGAGCAAGAGTCCAACTGTACCACGTTTATTTGACTTCTGTGCTTCAATTTTTTAATTTTTTTAATTAACTCTTTAAAAAAGTTCAGCACTAAAGTTATGGAGGAAGGTAACATTTGATTTGACATGATGTAGGGTGTTCCAAAAGTGGCACAGATTAATTTAAGCAGCTTACTGAAGGATAACGCTGCATATGTAGCGTCCATGTTCACGTGAAGTCACCTGCAACAGGCTGGATCGCAGGTTGCAAATTTGGCGGCTGTTTGTGTGACCGTTTGTTGTCCGCTGTTACATCGTACAGTCAGGCTACTATTATCATATTACTCAGAAGATTAAATAAAAAACATTTTAAAAAACTTTTGGAACTTTTTGGAAAATGATCCATGGCTTTCTAAAGGTTTTGCAATTTGCACATCATGCACATTCAGGTGTTTGGAGTTTGTTTATTACAGATATTGACATCTAGACACTGAATTGTTTCACCATAATTCCATGTAAAATAGCTCAAGTTCTATCGGATTGGATGTAGAGCTGTAGCACCCAGACTTCCCTCTCCCTGGACACCTTCTAGCTCTGCTGGGGGAAGCCTCCCAGGTCAGTTGAGAGTGCTAGTCCTTCCAGCATGTTCTGGGCCCTACCCCAGACCTCTCATTGGGACATACCTAAAACACTTCTGTCCTGGCTCGGCTCTATTCCTAGCCTCTCCCTGATGACTGAGCTCCTTACCTTAAGGTAGACCCTGTGGAAATTCCTATGACTGCTTGTATCAACAATCTCTGTCTTTCTAACAGTACCCAAAGTTCTATGAGAGCTTTGCCTTTTGGCTCTGCTTTCTCTTCACCACAACAGACCAGTGCAGCATCTGCATTATTCCTGCTGCTG